CAGCCAGAACCCCCCACAAACACAGACTGGGGACAGCCCAGAGTCCCCATGGACACGGAGCGGGAGCAGCCCAAAGTCCCCAAGGACACACAATGGGAACAGCCCAAAGTCCCCAAGGACACAGAGTGGGAACAGCCCCAAGTCCCCACAGGCACACAGTGGGGACAGCCAGAACCTGCCTCAGACACAGACTGGGGACAGTCAGAACCCCCCCCAGACAGGTGTCCCCAACAACCAGAAGCCCCCACAGACACCAGGAGAGATGGAGCAGCAGAAGGAGGCTTCAGGAGAGGATCCCATGCCCACGGAAGCCGGCCCAGGTGAGTGCCAGGCGTGCCAGGGAGGATGTGCTTCCCCTTCCCAGCTCTCCAGGGCAGAGGTGCATGGCTCTGGTGCTTGCAGAGGCATTGCCAGGGAGCCCTGGGATGTTGTCACAGGACAGTGGAAGAGGGTCTGGACATGGGAATGCGGCCTGTGGAGGTGATGGGGTGAGGCTGCTCTGTGAGCTGGTGGCATGTGGCACCTTGCTCTCCTTCCCTCCCAGCCCTCCCTCTGCTTTTGGCCCATGTGTGGCTTCACTCCAGTTCCTCCTGACACCTTCCAGCCTTTCCACAGAACTGCTGGGGTTGGAAAAGCCCTCTGAGATCACTGGGTCCAGCCATCCCCCAGCACTGCCAAGGCCCCACGTCCCCAGGTGCCCCATCCACACATCCTGCAGGAGCAGGGACTCAGCACTGCCTGTTCCAGAGGCAATTTTCCTGATAGCTGATCCACATCCAGGCTCTTGAGCTGCAGCTTCCTCCAGCTCTTCCACACACTCCCAGCAATCCCTGGTTCATATTGCTGGAGCAGGGCCTGGGAGGTCCCCATGGATCTTTCAAATCCTGTTCCCTGCAAACAGAGCTCCCCATCGTGATGATGAACGTGATGTCCCTGGGGGACCATCGGCAGGGGACGGCGGCAGAGGAGGACGCGGAGATGGAGGAGGACCCGGCAGAGCCTGACACTGGTGAGTCACCCTGTGCTGGGGACATGGGGCTGGCAGGAGGGTGGGAAGCAGCTTCCAGAGCTGATGGGCTTGAAGCAGGGAGGGAAAATGAAGCTTCAGGGGTTCCTTTTATTTTTTCCTGCAACATCATGTGGGTTTAGAGGTGGGACCCTCGTGCCACTGGTCCCAATGGCACCCACGGAGGGCTCAGCCAGGGCCACTGTGCCATGGATGGACAACCCTTTTGGGAATTTTCCCAATATCCAACCTGAACCTCCCCTGGCACAGCCTGAGGCCGTTTCCCCTTGCCCTATCCCTATACCCTGGCAGCAGAGCCTGATCTCCCTGGCTGTCCCCTCCTGTCAGGAGCTGTGCAGAGCCACAAGGTCCCCCCTGAGCCTCCTCTTCTCCAGGCTGAGCCCCTTCCCAGCTCCCTCAGCCCCTCCTGGGGCTCCAGACTCTTCCCCAGCTTTGTTCCCTTTTCCCGGACATGCTCCAGCCCCTCAATGTCTTTCTTGTCATGAGAAGCCCAGTGCTGCCCCGGGACTGGAGGTGCCCCGGCAGTGCCAGCACAGGGAGGAGCCCTGGTCCTGTGTCACACCAGTGCTGACACCAACACGGAGCCTCTCTGTTCCAGAGGAAGCCTTACCCATGGAAGATGAAACACCATACGAAGGGCCTTCTCCCGAGGACATCAAGGTGAAGGAAGAGGAGCCTGAGCTGCTGGCAGAGGAATCCACCCCCTGTCCCGGCTCAGAGATCCAGAAGTGTCCCAAAACCGAGCTGGTGAAAGCCAAGATGAAGAAGAAGCCGAACCGGTGCGAGGCCAGCACGCTCCTGATGGGCAACTGCCGGCGCGGGTACGTGCGGGAATGGTCCCACCCCTGCACGGAGTGCGGGAAGCGCTTCCGCCTCAAGATCAACCTCATCATCCACCAGCGCAGCCACGCCAAGGAGGGGCCCTACGAGTGCCCCGTGTGCGAGATCGGCTTCAGCACCAAGCGGCACCTGGACCTGCACCGCAGCATCCACGTCAAGGACAGAGCCTTCGGCGCCAAGGTCTGGGGCAACGTGCACCCCGAGCTGCGCATCCGCCCGCGCAGGGACCCGTGCGGCGGCGCCGGCCACGCCGCGGGCGCCTGGCTGGGCCAGCCCAAGGAGGAGCCCGACGGAGAGGGCCTGGCCGGCTCGGGGACCGTGCAGCCGCCCACCCCCAGGCAGAAGTGCCCCCTGTGCAAGAAGTTCCTGGCCTGCTCCACGTCCATGCGGCGGCACCTGAAGACCCACGCACGGGACCGGCCCTACTGCTGCAGCTCCTGCAACAAGTGCTTCATGCGCAGCAATCACCTGCTGCGCCACAAGAAGATCCACGAGAGGGCTCTGGCCGTGCTCCAGCGCGAGGCCGCGGCCCAGCCCCCTGCTGCTATCCCGGCATCCCTGCAGCACCCAGCTCCCGAGCCCCAGAGGAGCCCTTCCCAAGAGAACGGGAGCCCTGAGGCTGCGAAAGCGAGCCTGCCCAACGTGCTGCTGCTGGGGACAACGCCCCTGGGGCTCCCGGGCAAAGGCTCCCCGCTCCCCGAGTGCATCAGGAAAGCCGTGCAGCCCGTGGTCCAGCTGGGATCCAGGGCTGTGGCTTCAGAGATGACAGAGAAATGACAGATGACAGACCCTGGGACAGATCTGAGCTGTGCGTGTCCCTGGAAGGAAGCTGTGAGTCTGTTGGGTTTGCACCTGGTGGGACACCCAAGGATGGGAATCTGCTGTATTTTAGGAGCTTCCTGGGTTGTGGAAAGAATGGGAAGCCTGGAGACCACAACAGAGAGCAAATTGCAGAAGCCTCCAGTGATCCATAATGCTTCACCATTCCACTGACTTGGTCCTGTTGGCTGATACTTGGAATTTTCCCAAGCTGACATTCCTGGGAGATGACCAGGTGAATCCTGGTCAAACAGGAGCAGAACTTTGCCATTCTTTGATGTTGGAGCTGACCCCTTGCATTCAGAAACACAACTGAAGAGGGCAGGGAGAAGGGAATGGAGCTGGCAGCATTCCCATGCAGCCCTTTGAGACACCAGATGGAGAGTGACATCTCTGAGACCCCACCACATCCTGGCCACCCTGGGGAGGAGATCAGCCAGCAGCCCCTCCAGCAGGTTGGGAACACTGGAGCTTGGCACTGGAAGATCCATAGGACAAACCAAACCCCAATATTCTGTGCTGGCATATTCCATATTCCAGGGCAGGTCCATGAGGAAGGCCACAGGCACCCTCAGGACCATCCTGCACGGCTGCAGAGTGACTTTAGGAATACTTGATGGGTCAGCCAGCCCCATGCTGCAGCAGCACCCTGATCCCTGTGCATCTGCACAGAGCAGCCCCTCAGCTCTGGAGGAAACTCCCACTCCCCAACCACAGCTCATCCCCTTTTGCCCAAAATCCCACCTTAATGAATCCTATGGGAAAACACTTCTGCAGCTACCTCAGACAGGGAGAGGGGACCTGCCCGGATGCAGCCAGCGGAAGCCAGGCCTGGCAGTGCCCCAGTGTCCCCTGGAGCCACCAGAGCAGTGTCCATGGCCAGAGCCCCACGTGCTGGGTGTGCACAGGGAGCGCCTCCCACCCGGAGCCAGCACGGACACGGTGGAGCAGCTGTTGGGACTCTTGCGTTTCGTTTTTCAGGGTTTTTTTTGTTTTGAGCTGTTTGATGTAATTATTTGACATCGTGAGATCTCTGTCCCTCTCTGAGCAGTGAGCACTGGAAGGCTTTTCCCATCTCTCATTCCGAGTCACTCCCAAGGTGTGATGGTGCTGCCGTGGGAAGCTCTGGGAGCTGAGGGAACGCCTGTGCCGCATCCAGGTGTGATCCTCAGCCACCTCCTGCTCCACGGGACAGACAGCAGCGTCTGAGCTGCTCCACAGGAATACACACAGCATCGCACTGCTCCTCTGGGCTGGTCTCACACTTCCTGCCCCTGGGACTGCAGTGTGGAGCGTTCCCAGCCTGCAGCAGGAGCCGGGAGGGGTGCCAGTGGCACACACGTGCCTGTGGATCTGGCAGTGAGCCAGTGGCTGGTTATCCCTGTTATCCCTGCCCAGCAGAGATCCCAGTGCTCCCCAATTGATCCCAGGGGCGTGGCTGAGCTGGTGTGTCCATGCTGAAGGCCAGCAGAAGGACCAGCAGCCCCAGCCTGGCATTTCTAAATGTGCTGTGACCGGGAGCAGTTTCCTGTGACATTCCCGATCCCTTTCTCAGGCTGTGGAATCAATAAAGTATTTGTCTCTATGTCTGGCTGCTTTGGGGACTCAGAACTGGGATCAGCCAGGACAGCTTTCAGCAGGAGGGGTTTAGGAGTCACTGCCAGCAACTCCAGAGCCCCCAGGCCACTGGGAGAGTTGTGGAATGCCAGCCAGGAAGGATGAGCAGGGAAGGGCAGGGGATGGAGTGGCCCTGGCCACCATGGGTGGGACACATCCCTCAGCACTGCCAGGGAGTCCCACAGTGGCCAGAGAATCCTGTGGGGGATTCCTGTGTGACTGCTCCACATTCCCAGCAGGTAGCTCTGCATTCCTCCCCCGTTGAGCCAGAGATGTCACCCCCCAGCTGCCCCGAGCACAACAGGAGACCAGTCAGCTCAGTCTTTTATCTGATTCTCTTCCCGGCTGGTCCGGCCACCCAGCCCCCAGAGCCTTGTGGGGCTATCAGCTGCCCCCAGGCCACCGACCACTCCCAGCCCCCCTCCCTGCACAGCGGTGGAGTTCAAACAACCCCAGTTCCACCATGGGATCTGACAGAGCCGCTCCTCTGCTGAATCCACGGGGCAGCGGCACCGCCGGGTCAGCTCCAGCCACTGACCCTCCTCTGCTGCCTCGGAGCCAGTCCCATCCCACTTGGGCCCTTCCCTGCCGAACAGCACAGCAGGCTCCTGCTCCTCCTCCTCCCGAGACCCAGGTGCTGCCCCGAGTCCCACAGCATCAGCACAGCAGGCTCCTGCTCCTCCTCCTCCCGAGACCCAGGTGGTGCCAAAGTCCCACAGCATCAGCACAGCAGGCTCCTGCTCCTCCTCCTCCCGAGACCCAGGTGCCGCCCCGAGTCCCACAGCACCGCGCACAAACTCCCGGTGCTGCCACAAGTCCCACGCTGAAGAACCGCTGTCCCTTCCCTTCTCCGTCCCTCTGGCTACCGATTGTCCTGGCTCAGAGCCTCGCAGGGCTCCAGCTCCGGCTCGTGTCCCGGCAAGCTGCCGGCCGGGGAGGCGCTCACGGCGTGCACCTTCTGGTGGTGGTTGAGCGACTGGCGGTGCCGGAAGCTCTTGGTGCAGCCGTGGCACTGGAAGGGGCGCTGCTGCGTGTGCCGCCGCTGGTGCTCCTCCAGCGACGCTTTCTGCGGGAAGCTCTCGGCGCACTCGATGCAGCGGTAGAGCCGCTCCCCGGCGGCGCCGCCCCGCGCCGGCCGGCCCGGCCAAGCGCTGCGGAGCTGCGGGCCGTGGATGCGCTGGTGCTTCTGCAGGTGGTGCTTCTGCACGAAGCCCTTGCCGCAGGCGGGGCAGCGGTACGGCCGCTCGCCGGTGTGGATGCGGTAGTGCTTGTTGAGGTTGGACTTCTCGTTGAAGCTCTTGCCGCAGGCCGGGCACTGGAAGGGCCGCTCGCCCGTGTGCAGGCGCTGGTGCCGCAGCAGCGCGGCGTGGTGCGCCAGGCTCTTGCCGCAGGACGTGCAGATGAAGGAGCCGTTGCTCTTCCTCTCCCGGCTCTGCTGCCGCGCCAGCAGGTTCCGTGTCAGCCGGACGCTCTTCCAGCCCGGCGGCAGCGCCCGGGGATCGTCCTGGGCGCTCTGCTGCTGCTGCTGCTCCCAGCCGGGCTGCGGCGACGCCACCTCGGCCGCGGGGTCCTCTGCCAGCGGCATCCCCTGGGCGAGCGCGAACGGCTGCTCCGTGCCCGCGCCCAGGGCGTGCTCCGCGGGGAACGGCAGCCCCGGGGCGGGGTGAGCCTCCACCGGCACCACCACCGGCTTGAATTCCCCCAGGCAGAATTCCCCCAGGCCCTCCCCGGCCGCCTTGGGCCCCGCCACGCCGTGGCTCTCCCAGGACACCGGCTGCTCCTGGCCGAGGGGAACCTCCTCGTCCAGCCTGACCGCGGGCACCATCGGCAGCGCCAGGAGCTCGGCTCCGTCCTCCTGCGGCTGCTGCTCTTCCGTCTTGATCACGATCATCTCACCTGTGGAGACACCGCAGTTCATTCCCGGGAAGGGAAGGCTTTCTGTGCCTGCCACTCCAGAGTGGAGCGGGAGCAGAGGTGAGAGGAACTGGCAAAGAACAAAAGGGAACAGGAAGGGATTCCCAGGAGATGAGGTGCAGCTTGTGGGACCTCAGGGACATCATGGAACCACGGAATTAGAGAGGTTTGCAAAGCCCTTCAAGACATCAAGTCAAATCATCAACCAAGCACTGCCAAGGCCACCACTGTCCCGTGTCCCCAAGTGCCACATCCACACAGCTTTTAAATCCTTCCAGGAATGGAGACTCCACCACTGCCCTGGCCATGCTGGACTCAATGAACTACGGACTGACAATACAATCCTCACAAAAAAACCAAACCAGGGGGAATGTGCCTCAGCTTTGCCTTCACAGAGTCCCCCATCCTGGAGAGAACCCCATGTGGAATGGCAGAGTTTAAGCGTGTGAATCCAGGGAAAAGGATCAAAGCAAAGCCTCCCCAAAGCAGGAGGGAGCATCCACCCACAGGTACCCAGCTCCAGAGCCACCCTCACTGAGCCTTGCCCCAGGTTTTCCCATTTTCCATCCTTAAGAACGCTGCCCAGTCTGGGCAGGTGGTCAGTGCCCATCCTCAGCCCCCCTCGCTGTCACTCACTGTCACCAAGCTGTCCTGGCACCGCTCCCTTCTCCGGCAGCCCGGGGCTCCCTGGATCCTCCCTGTCCTCGGCTGGTGGCAGCAGCGCAGCTTTGGAACCAGCATCCTCAGGCCCTGGGAAGGAGGGAGCAATGGCATGAACTGCTGACAGTGGGGACCACCCAAAGCAGGGTCCTGGAATTCCAGGACATCTGATCACACAGGCCACTGGCAGCTGAACCAGGCACGGGATTTCTGCTTATCTCAGGAAGTGCCCGATGGACCCTCAAGCTCTAAAATTTCAGTCCAAAATGAATGAGTACTAAAATGTAGGAATCTCTGCAGCAAATCCCTGTAGGGTAATCCGTGTACAGCCCATATCCCAGGAAAAAAACAGTGCAGGAACACTGGCTGCAGGACATGTCACCTGGAATCCCCCCACGTTCCACGTGTGGAGGGTTTGGAAGCTGCATCAGCCCGGGGATGATGATGTTGCTGACATGATCTGAGTGATCCTCACCGAGAGGGACCATGGCCTCGTAGCTCCCCTTCCTGGCAGTCCCACGGAGCTCCCGGCTGCCCACGCTGCTCCTCAGCTCCTGCTCGGGCAGAGCGGCCTCCTCACCCTCGCCCGCTGCTGGCACCTGGAAGCACAGGAGGCTCCACCTGGGGGTCCCCACTGAGCCCCTCCCCGAGCCCCTGGGGTCCAGAGCTCCCATGGACAGAGCCATGTCAGGGGGGACGTCCCCAGACATCCCAGCAAGGCTCAGCTGTTCCTCCCAATATCCATCCAGGCAGCCAGGTGAGCAGTGACCCCTCAGGTGGGAGCAGGACAGTGGCACCATCCCACATCACCCCAGCAGGGCCCTGAAATATGACTGAAACACTTGGGACGGGTGGTTCTGCTCCCCCTCTTCCCTGGGGGACAAGCACCAGACGAGCTCCTGAGAGCCAACAGCACTTTCCAGGGCCACATGGTCACCTGGGGCACTTTCCCACTGCTTCAGGCACATCTCTGTCACCTGTGGCCCGTCCCTGTCACGCTGAGCACATCCCTGAGAGCTGGGACACATCCCTGTCCATCTTTGGCACATTCCCATTAGCTGGCGCTTGTCCCTGTTTGTCACCGCTGGCATGTCCCCGTTATCTGGGGCTTGTCCACTTCAGCTGGGGCTTGTCCCCATTACCTGCACCCCATCCCTGTCCATCTTTGGCACATTCCATTAGCTGGCATTTGTCCCTGTTCGTCACCACTGGCATGTCCCCGTTATCTGGGGCTTGTCCCCATTACCTGCACCCCATCCCTGTCACTGAGGGCACATCCCTGTTCCCTGGGACTCACCCCCATTACCAGGGGCTCATCTCCATCCCGTTACCCAGAACTTGTCCCTGTCACCGCTGGCATGTCCCCGTCCCCATTCCTCAGAGCTTGTCGCTGTCCCCGTGGGCTCAGCCCGCTCCCCATTCCCCGGTGCCCGTTCCTTTCCTCATTCCCCGGGGCTGGTTCCCGTTCCCCGGGTCGCATCCCCGTCCCCCGGGCCCACCGTGTCCCCGTGCGGGCCCGCCCCGGTTCCCTGGGCCCCGACCCCGTCCCGGTTACCTGTGTCCGCTCCCGGGCGGTCCCGGTGCCGGTCCCGGTGCGGTTTCCCCCGCAGCGGCAGCGGCGGAGCTGGCGCTGGATGCGGCGGAGGCGGCGGGAGTTGTCCCTGAGGAGCGCGGCCAGCCGGGCCCCGCCGGCCCGCACCGTGCGCTCCAGCCCCGCCACGCGCCGCTCCAGCCGCTCCAGCCGCCGCTCCGCCGCCTCCACGCCCCGCTCCAGCCGCCGCTCCGCCGCCGCCACCGCCCGCAGCGACAGCTCCGCCGGGGCCGCCCCGCCGGGGCCCGCGCCGGGATCGGGGCCCGCGCCCGGCCAGGCCTCGGGCGCCCGCTCGGGGTCCTGCTGCGGGGGGAAGAGGGCGGTGAGGGGCGGCCGGGCCCGGGGTCCCGCCGGGGGGGCGGGGGTGCCGGTGCCGGGGGGTCCCGCCGGTACCTGAGCGCGGCCCCACTGGGCCATGGCCGCCCCTCGCCGCCGCCGCCGCAGCGCCCCCTGCCGGCCCCGCGCCAACCGCGCCGCCCCGCCCGCGGCCGCCGCACCGAGACCCCGGCCCGGCCTGGCCCCGTTACAGCCGGTTACAGCCCCAGCCCATCTACAGCCCCGTCCGATCCCATCGACAGCCCCATCCCAGCCCATCTACAGCCCCATCCCATCCCATCGACAGCCCGACCCACACTATCCCCATCCCCATCCCATCCCATCCCATCCCATCCCATCCCAGGATGGGTCAGCCTGGTAGGGACCACTGAAGGGATCGCTGCGGCTCATCTGGTCTCACCTCCCTGCTCGTTCAGGGTTATTCCAGAGCACCGGGCACAGGATTGTGTCCAGACCATTCTGGCATATCTCCAGTGAGGGAGGCTCCCTCTCTGGGGAATCTGTGCCAGGGCTCAGTCGCTGCACAGGGTGGGAGTTCTCCTCCTGTCCAGGTGGAACTTCCTGGGCATCAGTTTCCTGCCTGTTCCTCTTGTTGCCAGGTCCCACAGCAAAGAGCCAAGCTCTGTCAGTCCCATCCTATCTCCATCCCCATCCTGGTTTCTATCACATCCACATCTCCATCCATCCATCCATCCATCCATCCATCCATCCATCCATCCATCCATCTCCCCTCTAACCCCATCCCACCCTACCTCTATTCCATCTTCATCCCATCCATCCCCAGCCCTGCATGAGGATCACAGCTCCAGCCCTCAAATCCCCAGTGCCCAGCAACCCCCAGTGCCATTCCCAGACGCCCATCCAGACCCCCAACCCCATCCCAACCCATCTCAGACTGGGGCTGCAGCCCCCCAGCAGCAGCTGACACCCCCCACCCAGTGTTCCATTCTCACTCTTCCATCACTCCATCCCACAGATCCCGTTCCTGGTGCTGCCCACCCAGCCGGACCCAGCAGGACCCTCCCAGAGCCCCCTCAAGGAATCCACGTGCAGCATCCTGGTTTCTACAGCATCTATTGGCACTCTCCAGAAAAGGGACCCACTCCCAGCATCCCACCCACCCACCAGGGCTTGGGAACAAGGAGCCCCCAGGGCAGGTGACCCCTGTCCCCACACCAGGGCAGGGGAGCCAGAAAATGTTGTCCATGTTCCAGCCTTCATCTGGAGAGGGATAGAGGGGAGAAGGTCTGACAGTGGCCTCCGGTCCCCAGGAGGTCACTTCAAAATCCAGCAGCAGCATTGCATCCCTGGGAGTCACTTCAAAGTCTAGTAGCACCATCCTGTTCTCGGGAGGACACCTCAAGGTTCAACAGCAGCATCTTATTTCTGGGAAGACACCTCAAAATTCAACACGTATCCCATTCTTAGAGGATACCTTAATGCCCACCAGCAGCAGCATCCCATTCTTCACCTCAAGATCAGACAGCAGCCTCCTATCCTAGGGAGGTCAATTTGAAGTCCATCAGCAGCACCCTGTGTCCAGGACGTCACCTCAAAGTCATCAGCAGCATCGTGGGAGGTCACCTCAAATTTCAGCAGCAGCTTCCCCCACCCCTGTGTGTACACCCTGAGCTCCAACAGCAGCCTCCCATTCCGGGAGGGCCCCAGGGACCCATCCCTGGGGGGTCACAGCCTGGCTTCCCACCCCGTCCCCTGCCGCGGGAGCCGCCACGACGGGCCCCGGGTTGGCGCGGGCGAACGGCCGCTCCTGCCGCCTGTGGATCCTCTGGTGCGCCTTGAGGTGGGAGAACCTCTTGAAGGTCTTCTGGCAGATGCCACACTGGTGGGGCCGGACGCCCATGAGCATCCAGTGCTGCCGGACGAAGTCCGAGACCCAGGTGAAGCTGCGGTTGCAGCAGGGACACAGGATGAGGTGGTGGCCCGAGTGCCGGCGCTGATGCACCGTCAGGAACACCTGGTTGGAGAAGCTTTCCCGGCACTCCGTGCACGTGTACATCACTTTTCCAGGTGGCAGCGAGCACCGGGCGGGGCCGGGCTCCTGCCACACCGTGCCACAGTCCCTGCTCGGGGCTTGTGGCTGCGAGGACGGGCACAGGCTCTGGCTGGGACACTCCTCCGGCTTCGAGGCCTGGCAGGTGCCATTGGCTGCCCAGGTTTGGGGCTGGGATGTTGGGCACTGGGATGCTGGGCACGGCCCCTGGCTGGGACATGCCTTTGCATCCAAGGGCTGGCAGGGGCCATTGGGTGCCCAGCTTTGAGGCTGGGATGTTGGGCACGGCATCCCTTGGCTGGGACATCCATTTGCATCCAAAGGCTGGCAGGTGCCATTGGGTGCCCAGGCTTGGGGCTGGGATGGTGAGCACGGTGTCCTACTGGGACACTCCTCTGGCTTTGAGGCCTGGTACATGCCATTAGCTGGCCAGGTTTGGGGATGGGACGCTGGGAATGGCACCTGGCCGGGACACACCTCCAGCTCCGAGGGCTGGCACGTCCCGTTGGCCGCCCAGGCGCGCAGGTGCCGCCTGATTTTCTTCTTGGACATGAACTTGCGGTCGCAGTGGACGCAGACATAGGGCACCCAGTTGGTGTGGCCACGCTGGTGGATCAGGAGGTTGATCTTCAGCAGGAAGGTTTTCCTGCAGATGGGGCAGGAGTAAAATTCCCGGGCGGAATTTCGCTGCCAGGGCACGGGCCGGCCCACGCAGGAGTCCTTCTCCGGCTCCCCTGGGCTGGGATCTGCCTGTTCTGTCATCTTGTGGACATCTGGTGCCACCTCCCTTCCTGGTTCTTCAGGAATGTCAGCCACCAGATCTTGGCCAGTATTCCCTGCATCTTTCAGAGCCTCCTCTTCCTGACCCTTGTCCTCTTCCAGACCCTTGGAGGGTGTTTTGGGCATTGACAAATTCTCTGCAGCAACCTCCTCCTGTGGCACCTCCATCGGGATCCCCGCTTCAGCATCTCCTGGGAATTTTTTAGAATCCAAACATCATTTTAAACATGGTTTTAAGGCATGAAAAGCAAAGGACTTTGCTCCCACCCTCCCTCCCTCACTTCCCGCTCTGTTCCCAGCCAGCACAAATCCCAGCCCCGCTCTCCTCTTCCAGCTCAGTCTCTGGACTGTGTAAAAGCCAGGAACAGCCAGAGCTGATCCCCATAGACACCCCAGGACAGTCTGAGGTGGAAACATCACCCAGGGGGACAGGGGACTCTGACAACCACCCCAGGGCTGGTCTGGGTAGGTGCCCCAATGCCATGCTGTATCCCAAACAGTTTCAGGGCTGGTAACAGGATTTGCTTCCCTTTCCTGGAAGCTCCAAGCCCGGATAGAGGCCCAACAGACCCCCTCAAGCTGCTGGCCCCACCAAGGAGGGCGAAGGGTTCTGCCCCAGTACCTGCTGCAGGGGGAGAACTGTTCTGACCCACGGCGTCCTGGCAGTGCACGGAGAGCGGGCAGGGAGGGGATCTCGGCTGGCTGAGATCCGCCGGGACAGCGGGGGCTTCCAGATGGACAGGGGCTGTGAGGGCAAGAGCAGGGATGAAGGAGGGAAAGGAACAGCCAGGCAGGGCTCCAGGACCCCTCACAGCAGCAGCACAATTTGCCAGGCACTCACGTGTGCTGCAGTTATCTGGGACCACTGGGCTACTGCTTTCCTCCATCATGTTCCCACTCTCCTCTGCTGGGTTCCCACTTTCTTTTGCTGGGCTCCTGTTTTCCTCTGCTGAGCTCCTGTTTTCCTCTGCTGTGCTCCTATTTTCCTCTGCTGAGCTCCTGTTTTCTTCTGCCGAGCTCCTGTTTTCCTCTGCTGAGCTCCTGTTTTCCTCTGCTGAGCTCCTGTTTTCTTCTGCCAAGCTCCTGTTTTCTTCTGCCGAGCTCCTGTTTTCCTCTGCTTGGCTCTTGTTATCCTCTCCTGTGCTTCTGTTTTCCTCTCCCGTGCTCCTGTTTTCCTCTGCCACATCCCAGATTTCCTTTATCAGGTTCCCTCGTATCTCCACTAGGCCCCAGCTTTCCTCCACCAGGTTCTCGCTTTTCTCTGCCACATTCCCGCTTTCCTCTGGCTCCCTGCAGCCCCTGTCCATTGTCTCTGTCTCCAGCAGTGCACCATCGCTGGTGCAGTTCTGTAGGGCTGGCTCTGTGGAGGACAAGGACATTTGGATTCACCAGCAGCCAGTGAAAAATCCCATTCCAGAGGGTGTCAGGGTCCCTCACACCCAGCAGCTGACGGGGCAGGGGCTCCAGGCTATCCACGTGTCCCAGCAGGAGTTCCCTCACAGCGGACACCTCCCAGTCCCTGGGAGTGTCCCAGGTTGGAAAAGGCTTGGAGCAACCTGCACTCGTGCAAGGTGTCCCTGCCCATGGCAGGGGCTTGGAAAGAGATGAGCTTTAAGATTCCTCCCAACCCAAACCCAAAATTCTGGGATTCACGGTCCCAGGGAGCAGCCAGAAGCTGGTGGCACAGAAGGAACCCAGTGTCACCCACCTACAGCCAGCGCCTCTGGGGACATCTCTTCTGCCTCTGTCTCTGATTCCGGCGGCGTGCTCAGCTCTTCACTTTCCAGCTGCAGTAACAGTTCGGGCTTGGACAGGGCAGAGTCTGGGCAAGAGCAGGACACACATCAGGAACATGATGGGACAGGGACTCCGCACCCACAGCTGGGCAACAGAGCCAGTCCCAACCCCAGAAACTTCATCTCCAACCGCGGCCACGACGGGACTTATGGATACAGACAGGAAACAGCAGGCAGAGCTGACAGGGAACATGGAAAACAGCCTCTGACAGTCCCCTGGGAACAACTGCATGAAAACCCATCCTTGCTCTGGCCCTGCGACAGAATTCCCCGTTCTCCCAGAAATTCACCTTGCAGATAGGAAAATACCCTGAATGATGGGAAGGGAATTGTGAGGCTCCTGACTGCATGAGGGCACTGCTGAGGGACCACCTCGAATCCTGGGGGCAACTCTGGGCCCCTCATGCCAAGGAAGACCTTGAGGGGCTGGAGCATGTCCAGGGAAGGGAACAGAGCACCAGGAGCTGGGGGGCTCAGCCTGGAGAAAGGGAGGCTCAGGGGGGACCTTCTGGCTCTGCACAGCTCCTGACAGGAGGGTGCAGCCAGGAGGGAATCAGGACCTGCTCCCAGGGAACAGGACAAGGGGAAACAGCTTCAAGGGGAGGCTCAGGTTGGATTGTAGGGGAAATTCTCATGGAAAGGGGTGTCCCAGGCAGAGAATTTTGGAGGCGACAACCCAGGGAGATAACACCAACAATGTACCTATTCTCTATGAGGAAAAGACACCAAGCACTTACTACCCTGTCCTGCGTGTCCCTGCCACGCTCCAAACGCTGCCGGAGGGGACAGGGGAAAGGGAGGATTATCTGAGAGCTGGAGATTGCAGCAAAAGGCAAAGAGGCAGAGAAAGGACCCCAAGAGAGCTCCCTGGGGCTGCCAAACCGGCGCAAACGCAGCCTACACAGGGACACCAGCATCTCGTAGTTGCCTTCCATGACGCTCCGGTACATTTCCTTCTGTCCCTCGTCCAGGCTTGCCCACTCCTGCCGGCTGAACCGCACTGCCACATCCTCGAACCGCACCGGGACCTGCAGCACCGGCTGGGATGGGGACGGGGCAGCGACCCTGAACAATTCCCAGACCCTCAGACCCCCTCCAGCCCTTCAATAGCTCCCAGACCCCCATACGGAGTCCCCCTTGTTTATTCCCAGTCTCCTAAACCAGCCTGCTCCCAGCAGCCCACTGGATTCATCCCCACTTTCCCGAAACCCACTGCTGCCCCCTGAGGAGCCACCCGAGCTGCTCCCGGCCAGCCGGGAATGCACTGGATTCCCATCCCGTCTGCTGAAACCCCCCGCAGCCCCCTCAGGAGCCCCCAAGCCGCTCCCCGCCCTCCAGAGCCCCACGGGCGATCCCCAGGCTCCCTCCCAGCCACAAACCCTCCTTCCAACAGCCCCAAAAGCGACCCCCACCTCCCCTTGAACCGCCCACCAGCCCCTCAGTGCCCCCCCAGCCTCACTCCCAACCTCCAGCCCCACAATGACCCCGTAAGTGACTCCCCCATCCCACTCCCAGCCCTCCGAGCCCCGCACCACTCCCTCAGTCTCACCCTCAGCCCCACCAGCGACCCCTCCTCGCTCCCCCGGTTCTCCCATGGCGGCTCTCACCCCGTGGAGCTGCAGGGCGGCGAGGGGCAGCTCCCGCAGCGCCGCCTCCGCCCGCTCCATCCGCCGCTCCAGCGCCTCGAGGCGCGCCGGGAGCTCCGCCATGGCCCCGCGCCGCCGCGGCCGGGCGGGACCGCGCGGGACGGGACGCGCCGCCGGAGGGGCGGCACCGAGCGCAGGGCGGGAGGGTGGGCTGGATGGATAGGGCTGTGGAATGGGCTGGGAGGGCGGTGCCGAGCCCCCGGAGGGGTGGGTTGGTTGGTTGGATGGGTAGGGGGGTGGGATGGGCTGGGAGGGCGGTGCCAAGTTCCTGGAGGGATGAATTGGTTGGATGGATGGAGGGAGGGATGGGCGGTGGGATGGGTTGGGAGGGCGGCACCGAGCTCCCAGAGAGGTGGGTTGGTTGGTTGGATGGATAGGGCGGTTGGATGGATAGGGCGGTGGGATGGGCTGGGAGGGCGGCACCAAGCGCCCGGATGGGTGGCTTGGATGGACGGAGGGAGGGAAAAGTTGGGAGGGCGGCACTGGGCTCCCAGAGGGGTGGGTTGGTTGGATGGTTGGTTGGTTGGACGGATGGATGGAGGGATGGGTTGAGAGGGCGGCACCGAGCTCCTCCAGGGGTGGGTTGGATGGATGGATGGATGGATGGATGGGAGGAGGGATGGAGGAGGGAGGGATGGAGGGATGGGTTGGGAGGGCGGCACTGCGCTCCTGGAGGGGTGGGTTGGTTGGATGGATGGACGGACAGTGGGATGGTTTGGGTTGGGTTGGATTGGGAGGGTGGCACCGAGCTCCTCTAGGGGTGGGTTGGTTGGACGGATGGATGGATGGATGGACGGAGGAATGGGTTGGGAGGGCGGCACCGAGCTGCAGGAGGGATGAGATGGATGGATGGATGGATGGATGGATGGATGGATGGATGGGCGGTGGGATGGGTTGGGAAGCGACTGAGTGGCAGCTCCCGGAGGATCAGGGGCGATGGCACGGGGTGTGGCTGCAGGACGGGCTCTGCTGGGCTCGCTGTTGTTTGCCTGCTTCATCGCTGGCCTGGGTGAAGGGGTCGCTGAGGGCTCAAAGCTGGGAGGAATGGCTGAGCACCCCGAGGGCTGTGTGGCCCCTCAGAGGGATCTCGGCACGTTGGAGTGATGGGCAGAGAGGTAATTTCTAGAATTCAACAAGGGCAAGTGTAGGTGCTGCAGCTGGGGAGGAACAACCCCAGGTACCTGCACAGGCTGGGGGTGACCTGCTGGAGCAGCTCCGTGGGGAAGGAGCTGGGGGTCCTGAGTGACAGTGAGCTGTCCCTGAGCCAACAGAGTGTGCTGGGGAAAAGGGGCCAATGGGATCCCGGGTGCATTGGGAAGAGCATTCCCAGCAGGTCGGGGACAATCCTGCCCATGTGCTCAGCTCTAGAGGTACCTCTGGGTGCTGTGTCCAACTCTGGATCATCCTCAGCACAGCAGGAACAGGAGCTCCTGGAACTGAGCAAGGGCCTGGAGCATCTCTGTGCCCAAGAAAGGCTGAGGGAGCTGGGGCTGCTCAGCCTGGAGAGGAGCCCCAGCTGAGTGTCCCTGGGTGTCTCTGTGTGTCCCTGGCTGTCCCTTGGTGTCCCTGGGTGCAAGGAGGGGCAGAACAGGGCCAGGCTCTGCTCCAGGGGCCCAGCAGTGGCACCAGAAGGATGGACAGGGACTGATCCCAGGAATTCTCCCGGCACAGGAGGCAGAACTTCTGCCCTGGGCAGTGCCCAGCCCTGAGCAGAGACCAGAGAGGCCGTGGGATCTCCCTCACCGGGGATATCCCAGACCCGTCAGGATGCAATCCTGAGCCCTGTGCTCTGGGATGGCCCTGCTGGAGCAGGGAGGTGCCACCAGTGACCCACTGCGGTCAATTCCATTCAGGAATTCCGGGATTGTGTCCTGCGGGGAAGCGCCGCTGCGGTGGAGCCCCGGGAAGGTTTCCTGCCACTGCGATCGGCATCGGCCCCTTGCCGGTGACTGACAGCTGTCAATCACTGCGGGGGCTGCCGGCCGGCGGGGGCCGCTGTGGCGGCGGCGGAAGCGGAGGAGGAAGAGGAAGCGGCGCTTCTTGGCGGCAAGGGAAGGAAAGGCGGCGGCGGGGCAGCGCAGCGGCGGCGGCGGGCGAGGGCCGGTGCGAGCGGAGCGGAGAGCTCCAGCTCCGGTGCGGGAAGGAGCGGGCCGGCCCCGGTGTGCGGCGGCCGAGGCGAGGCTCTCCCGGGCGGCCGTGTGCCTTGGGCAGCCCCGGTGCCGCAGCCCGTCTCCGCGCTCCGCCGTTCCCGGTGCGGCGATGGAGCTGGCGGGCGGCAGCACCATCTCGCTGTGGACCGTGGTGGCCGCCGTGCAGGCGCTGGAGCGCAGCGTGGCCGCACACGCGTCCCGACTCTTCAGCCTGGAGCACCGCGCCGGCAACAGCGAGAAGAAGCACCAGGACTGCGAGAAAATGGTCGGGGAGTTCGGGAACCGGCTGGAGAGCAAGTGCGCGGCGCTGGGCACCCTCGTCCAGGAGTACGGGCGGCTCCAGAAGCGCCTGGAGAACATGGAGAACCTGCTGAAGAACAGGAATCTCTGGATCCTGCGGCTGCCCCCCGGGCTGGAGGCCCCCAAGGTATCGTACGGGTCTTTAAGGGGCCTGGGGGGGACAGGGACAGCGCGGAGGTTCCTCTGCTCCTCACTTCAGTCTTCCGCCATGGAAATCATTCCACATTCTCTGCCAACATTTCTTCTGTCGCCTGTCGTGCCAAGGCACGAAGCAGGAAGTGATTGCCCCTATGTATTGTTAGATTCAGCTGGTTTTCCCTACCAAAGTATGGGCTGTCACGTTTTTACCAACAGCGGGAAGTTCTTCCCCACTCTGAGGTCCCCAAGGGGATCAGGCTCCAGGGGGAAGTAAGAATATCGTGGAATACACAGTTCCATCTCCCAAAGTTTAGCAAAGCTCCAAAGTGTTACTCTCAGTGTCCAGAGGATGCCCCAAGGCAGGAATTTTCTTTCCCTGACACTTGGTAGCAGGGATAAGTAGGGAGTAGGATTCTCTGTGTTCCAGGAGCCGTGCTGAGTGTCACTTTTGGGATTGCAGGCCCCGGCTGTGGCGTTGGAAAACGATGCCACCGGCTTTTCCACTCAGGAATGGGAGAACCTGGAGGAGTGGCAGAGGGAGCTCTATGGAAAGGTGCTGACAGGGAAGAGAGAAGCCCTGGTCCTGCTGGGTGAGTGTTGCTGCTGCGTCACTTATCAGCACTTTCTGCTCAGGGAATCTTTCCCAGACGTGGGAAGCAGATTTGTGGGAACACAGTGAGACCGCTGCCTGTGTGTGAGGACTCTCTGTGCTGCCCAGCCGTGTGTTGTAGCTGCTGGAGCTGGTTTTGGGTGTGTTCCTCCCTGTGGGTGCAGCACAGAAACATTAGTTCCTTTCTCTGTTCCCTGTCAGACGATGTCATCTCCGAACCTGCCCTCCTGTCCCGGCTCCAGGGAGGAGAAGCGCCCTGCAGTGAGGAGGAAGCACCTCCCGGAGAGATCCCAGCAGAACCAGGTGCAGGCCAGGGATGAATCAAAGCTTTAACCCTGAGGGTGAGGGTCGTGTGGTGCTGTCACCACACAGAGGCTGGCACAAGGTGATGGTGCTGGTTTGCTCTGAGGGAACTTCTGAATCTCAAAAGGAGCAGGTTCTGGGGAGTAACAGAGGGTGATAAAAAAGTGTAACAGGTTTGATTTTTAGGATTACAAGTCAGGAAGACTTGTGTCACATCCTCACTTCTTGGCTGTGAGGATGGTGAGGCCCTGGCACAGATTGCCCTGTGGCTGCCCCGGGATCCCTGGAAGTGTCCAAGGCCAGGTTGGACAGGGCTTGGAGCAATCTGGGATAGGGGAAGGTGTCCCTGTCCATGGCAGAGGGTGAGACAGGTTTAACCCAGACCCTCCTGGGGTTCTGTGATCTGATTCCATGATTTCTGGCATTGGCAGAGGCTCTGCTGTTTGAACTCAACGTGAGCAGCTGGGACAGCAGAGAAGCGCAGGAAAACCAGGAGGGAAGAGCAGGGCTGGCTGAACCTGCCCATGGTGAGTGTTGTGGAAGGGCCTGGCCTCGAGGGTGTGGAGAACCCTCTGGAACTGGGGGGAACAGGGGGAACCCCTTCCCTACAGGGCAGAGCAGAGCTCCCAGGAGCAGGAATGGAAGGTGCTGAAGGTTATGTGTGGCAGCAGGGTGGGTGAGTGGGCACAAACCTCTGGGGCAGCAGAGGAGTCCAGTGGGGCTGTGATAACCAGTAAAGGAGTCACCTCTTTGCCAGTAAAGGAGTTTCCTCTTTTCCTCAGCAGACAGCAGCACTCCAGAGCAGAGCTTTGCTGTCACCGTGAAGCAGGAAGAGGAGGAAGAGCCACATGCAAAGAAGCAGGGAG